AAAGAAGCCATTAGCAGCAAAAAGGCATCCTTTAAAAATTGGAAGGCAAATCCTACTGAGGAAAATAGAAAGGAGCATAAACTCTGACAAGTCAAGTATAATTATACAGGCCACAAAAGAATTTGAAGAGCAAAAGTCTCAAAAACTAACAGCAAATTTTTGTTAAGTACATCAGAAGCAGAAAGCCTGCCAAACAATCACTGCGGCCAATGGATGATCAAAGTACTAAAGGAGCACTCAAGGAAGACAAGGCCATTGCAGAGAAGCTAAACGAATTCTTTGCATCGGTCGTCACTGCAGACGATGGGAGGAGGATTCCCACACCTGAGTCATTCTTTTTAGGTGACGAATCTGAGGAATTGTCCCAGATTTAGGTGTCAACAGAGGAGGTTTCGGAACAAACTGATAAATTTGTTATCAGCAAGTTAAAGAAGTATGGATTGGCTGAATGGACTATAAGGTGAATAGAAAGCTGGCTAGATGGTCGAGCTCAACAGGTAGTGATAAACGGCTCAATGTCTAGTTGGCAGCCAGTATCAAGCAGAGTGTCCCAGGGGTTGGTCCTGGGGCTGGTTTTGTTCAACATCTTCATTAATGATCTGGATGATGGGATGGATTGCACCCTCAGCAAGTTCGCGGATGACACTAACCTGGGGGGAGAGGTAGATATGCTGGAGGGTAGGGTTAGGGTCCAGAGTGACCTAGACAAATTAGAGGATTGGGCCAAAAGAAATCTGATGAGGTTCAATAAGGACAAGTGCAAAGTCCTGTACTTAGGATGGAAGAATCCCATGCACTACTACAGGCTGGGGACCGACTGGCTAAGCAGCAGTTCTGCAGAAAAGGACCTGGGGATTACAGTGGATGAGAAACTAGATATGAGTCAGCAGTGTGCCCTTGTTGCCAAGAAGGCTAATGGCATATTGGGCTGTATTAATAGGAGCATTGCCAGCAGATCGAGGGAAGTGATTATTCCCCTCTATTCGGCACTGGTGAGGCCACATCTGGAGTATTGCGTCCAGTTTTGGGTCTCCCACTACAGAAAGGATGTGGACAAATTGGAGAGAGTCCAGCAGAGGGCAAAGAAAATGATTAGGGGGCTGGGGCACATGATTTGAGGAGAAGCTGAGGGAACTGGGCTTATTTAGTCTGCAGAAAAGAAGAGTGGGGGGGGGGGGAATTTGATTGCAGCCTTCAAACTACCTGAAGGGGGGTTCCAAAGAGGATGGAGCTCGGCTGTTCTCAGTGGTGGCAGATAACAGAACAAGGAGCAATGGTCTTAAATTGCAGTGGGGGAGGTCTAGGTTGGATATTAGGAAAAACTATTTCACTAGGAGGGTGGTGAAGCACTGGAATGGATTACCGAGGGAGGTGGTGGAATCTCCATCCTTAGAGGTTTTTAAGGCCCGGCTTGACAAAGCCCTGGCTGGGATGATTTAGTTGGGGTTGGTCTTGCTTTGAGCAAGGGGTTGGACTAGATGACCTCCTGAGGTCCCTTCCAACCCTGATATTCTATGATTCTATTAACTAAACAGTAATAAGTCACCAGGACTAGATGGTATTTGCACAAATATGAAATTGCAGAACTACTAACTGTGGCATGTAACCTATCACCTAAATCAGCTTCTGTACCAGTTGACTGAAGGATAGCTAATGTGATGCCAATTTAAAAAAAAACTCCAGAGGTCAACCTGGCAATTGCAGACTGGTAAGCCTAACTTCAGTATCAGACAAATTGATTTAAACTATAGTAAAGAACGGAATGATTGACACATAGATGAACACAGTTTGTTGGGGGAAGAGTCAACACAGCTCTTGTAAAGAGAAATCATGCCTTACCAATTTATTGGAATTCGTTGAGGGGGTCAACAAGCATGTGGACAAGGATGATCCAGTGGATATAGTGCACTTGGATTTTCAGAAAGCCTTTGACAAGGTCCCTAACCAAAGGCTATTAAAGGAAACTGTCATGGGATGAAAGGGAAGGTCTTCTCATGGATTGGTAACTGGTTAAATGATAGGAAACAAAGGGTGGGAATAAATGGTCAGTTTTCAGAATGGAGAGAAGTAAATAGGGGTGTCCTCCAGAGATTTGTACTGAGACTTGTGGTGTCCAACATATTCATAACTGATCTAGAAAAAGGGGTATACAGTGAGGTGGCAAAGTTTGCAGACAATATAAAATTACTGAAGAGAGTTAAGTCCTAACTGACTGCAAAGAGTTACAAAGGGATCTCACAAAACTGAGTAACTGGGCAACAAAATGGCTGATGACATTCAATGTCAATAAATGCAAAGTAATGCATATTGGAAAACATAATCCCAACTATACATACAAAATGATGGGTCTAAATTAGCTATTACCACTCAAGGAAGAGATCTTGGAGCCATTGTGGATCACTCTGAGAACATCTGCTCAATGTGCAGTAGCAGTCAATAAAACTAACAGAATGTTAGGAACAATTAGGAAAGGGACAGATAATAAATAAATCCATGGTACGCCCACCTGACATGGGAGGCTGAGGTTCAAGTCTATGGTCTGAATCAGACAGAGACAGAATCAGGAGCTCCCACATCCCATGTGAGTACCCTAACCCCTGGGCAATTAGCTGCAGTATTCCGGTGTGGGTGGGTCTCACTTGTTCTGATCAGAAATTTCAGCCTGGACCTGGGAAACCAGGTCTGGCAGAAATAGCAAGGTCTCCCAACTCCAGTTCAATACCCTAACAATCCAACTTCACTCCCCCGGGGCTTTGCTGGTGAGCCCTTCTTGTCCTAACACTGGCTTCCAGCTAATAGGTTCAGTCCTATGCCTATTAGGTGACTAATAAATTTAGGCAAAACTTAGTGTTGAGCATGCAAATTACAATACAGAGTGTATCATTTCAACACTGAAGGCATAAACTCACTGAGATGCACTCTTCCGCTCAGACTGGGCACTCTCCAAAACCCTAATTCATTTTTAAGCTTATTCCTGCTCAGTTATTATTAGGGTAGAGGGTTTGACCAGCTTCATGGCCTCGAATCTTTAAATAGGATTCCAACATTGTTTGGTCTGTCCACATTGGATGGCTGAGCTGTATTAGAAATTGGTTTAGCTCTAGTAATTGAATTGTCTAGTTAGAATGACCTCACACTTGGTAAGGCAACTCACATCTTTTCATGTATTTATATCTGCTCCTGTATTTTCCACTCCATGCGTCTGATGAAGTGGGTTCTAACCCATGAAAGCTTATGCCCAAATAAATGTGTTAGGATCGGTGGGTAGAAATCGATCTCTCAGGGATCGAATGATCGCGTCTCGTCAGGACGCGACATCGATCCCCGAATTGACGCGCATAGTCCACCAGCGCAGGTAGGAGTAAGCGCCGTCAACGGGGGAGCCACGGCGGTCGATTTGCCACCGTCCTCGCAGTGGGGTAAGTCGGCTCGGATACATCGAATTCAGCTACGCTATTCGCGTAGCTGAATTTGCGTATCTTAAATCGATCCCCCCCAGTGTAGATCTAGCCTCAGTCTCTAAGGTGCCAAAAGGACTCCTTGTTGTTTTTGTTGATACAGACTAACATGGCTACCATGCTGAAATATGTTTATATAGTTTCCAAACTTGGTTTGTGGCTTAACATGGAATGAAGCATCAGTATAGTGGGCATATTTTCCAAGATAGACTGTTTTTAAAAAACAATTGCATTTACACATCTTTCCAGAAATCATTACCTATAACAGGTCAGGAAAGGCATATGAATTATAACATTTTGGGTGTTGGAAACTTCATTGCTGTCTGCTGTTAAGCAGGACTTCAGTTTCTTGGAGACATTATACTTTTGTCTACCTAGAAAATTCAAAGCATGGCTTACATAACCTTTTACTTAATTATGGGATTTAAGTATAGTATTTTACAGTGTAATGAAATAAAAAAAATTGTGTCTCTGAGTTACTGTTATATTAAGCAAGAAGTCCATTGAGCACTGAAAAAAAAATGTAACTATTCAAAACCCCAGAGTGCAGTTATATAATGTGATGCCTTGTTTGGTGCTTAAATACCACAGTGACAGGTGTCTTAAAATAGCCAATAAACCAGATAACTCAAAAGATATATAAACACATAAAGGAAGTGAAATTGCAAGAAACCAAGCACCTAGTGTTATAAAATCTGACACCTGTCAAACAGGGCTTGAGTCTTTAAGATCGTCTAACACTAACCTGAACTGCTCAGTTTATGTTTAGCATAATCTAAATCATTTCCCCTTAATGCAGGCACCCTCTATAATTTTAACCCTTCAATTATATTGTAATTAGCTCAGCCTCTTGCAGTCTCTGTGGAAAGCGGATTATGAATTAAACGGACTGGTATTGCCACTTCTTTCCTTTCATCTCAGCACAAGCACGTTTCTGCTGCCTCCTTGTAGCTGAGGATGTCCACCGGCTGGTTTAAAATAAACAAGAGTAAAAAATCCAGCCCACTTGGCCTGGACGCTCCATCTTTGTTTTCACTTGCTGAATTCCTCAGCTCTTTGGGCAGATTAAGTCGGCCCTCGGTATGGAGAGCTGCTCGCTGCATTCATACCAGACCCTGTTTACCAATCTGAGTGAGGGTGAGCTTTGCACTGGCCTCGCCTGGCCCGATGTCATGCTCCTGCCCTGAGGCAGCAGAAATGCCCCCAAGACGTGGCATAGGCGAGAACCATCACAACCCTCCCCCAGCGAGAAGCCAGAGCCCCTCCGTGCAATCGCTCAGGTCCAGGGATGTCCCCCCGCCACGTGCCCATCCTCCCTCCGAGCTCCCCGGCATCTGTCCTTGCAGCATCCGGAGCTTGCAGGTGGAGCGAGGGCCAAGCGGGAGCCAGCCTCCCCGAGCGGGGCATAGGGAGCGGCCCGGCCCAGCCCCACGGAATTCCTCCCCCGATGCCTTTGCTGGGGACTGGCGGAGCGGAGCGGAGCGCGCTACTGCCGCGGTCACAGGGACATGCAGCCGCAGCCGCACCGCCCGGGGTTGTTACCTGCGGGACCCGGAGCTGCCTGGCGGCGGGGGCCGGGACTCCGTGCTCAGGCGGCGGGCTGCCTCCCGCGGCGAGAGGAGCAGATCCCCGGTGTCTGCGTCCCTCTAGCCCGGTGCGCGCCGCGCTCATGCGCCCCTAGAGCCCCGGAGCTGCACGCACCGCCTCCATCCCTGCCCTGGCTCCGGGGGGGTGGGCTGGGAAGCTGGCTTCCCCCAGTCCCTTTGTGTGGCTGCGCGGGTTAAAGGAGAACACAAGCCGCAGCGGGGGAGAAGGGGGGCGCCAGCCCCGCCCAGATGTGCGGCCTCAGGGCATGCCCCGGGGTTCCTGTAGGAAATGGTGCCAGCCCACAGCGCCATCCGGCGGGCACAGAACCCGCCGCCTCCCTTCCCCAGGGAAACAGGGCAGAGCTAAGAACCTGGGTCTGTGAGTGAACTACCCGGCTTTCACCTCTTGGAGCCATGGGTGAATGTAGGCCACTAACAATGCAGGCTTTCAGTCTGTTCAGTGTTCAGATATAAGGGATCCCTTCAGCATGGAGTCCCTGGGGGTACAATGGGATTATAATAATGTTTACATTTCTCTCTGGTTTTCCCTTGGAATTGTTGTTTGGTGGTTCAAAACTTCCCAAAACATTCAGCTTTCTGCAGGAAATTTTCCAGGCCTAGGCTCTTTCTGAAGGTGACTGTGGAAAACATGAATGGAGACAATATGCACTTTTCTCATTAGAAAATTTTGACTTAAAATTATTTTTGTTGTGGTTACACTTTAGAAGGCAATGGGTGTGGGAGGGGGTGAGCCCAGGGTCAGAGCCCAAAGCCCCATGGCCGGAGCCTGCCACCCACCACCCCAGGGCTGAAGCCAGAAGTCTGAGCCCTACTGCCCCTGGAAAGGTGGGGAACTCACACTGGCTGCCTGCTCCTCTGGGTTTGGAGAGTCACCATGTTAGAGAAGCCTCCAGGGCTGTTCTTATTTAAATTGGGAACTGCATCAACTCATAAGCCTGCCCAGAATCCTGGAGCTGGAAATGTGACAAAGCCTTGTTTGGTCCTTTCATCCCCAGCTGCAAAATCTAGTCTCACTCCTTCCAAAATTTAGTCTGAGTTCAGGGGAATGATTTTCTGTTGAGGTAATACAGAAAGGCTAGCTATTTGCTCCTTTGAAATATTCAAGATACCTGTATATTTATGGCAGTGTTCTAGGTGTGAAGGACTCTGCCATTATACTTGTTTTCCTCTTTACATAGTTTTACTATTGAAACCATTTAAAAATACCATGGGCAAAATCCTGCTTGCCTTATCCACACAAAGTGACCCAATAAAGTTAATGGGACTACTGGTGAGAGAAAAGCAAGCAAGATTTTGGCCCTGATATTAGTTTTTAAAGAGATTTGGGAACAATTATCCAATTTGAATTTCTTGCAACACTGGGTGGCTTGCACTTTTTCTACCCTTGTTTTTGTATATTTGTTTTAAAGACTTCATAATTTTCTATAGCTATCAGTCATTCATCTCTGGGTAATATCTGGCATCATTCTAAAGTGGCTCTTGTTAATGTATATTGTTCACGTCTGGGTAGATGTAAAATAAGCCACGAGTCAACAAGATTCACAGACTTAGAACGTTTTATGTGGTCAGCACACTTTCGCAATAAAATAGCCCAACAACTTAAAGAATTTGAAGGGACAAAAGATCATTCCATTAATTAGTTCTGGTTTTATTAAAATAAATAACTCTGACATTGTTTCTGTGAGCCCCTCACTCAGAAGAACAGTCTATTTCTGTACATAAAGAGGGAATCTCCACCATATGAGCTGAGCTGGTTTCCCTTTTATAGGCCATTTAGTCTTCCATAAATATCCTTCTTCATCCGAGAGTAAATAGTGGGTTTTCCTTTTACCAAAAAGAAATGATAGCTTTCTGGAAAGTGCTCCAGTCCTCCATAGTCCCCCAAATGGGGAGGGAAATTAAGAATTTCAGTTTCTGGGAGGAAACCTCCCTATAAAACCAAACCAGTCAAAGGCCTTGTGCCACATCCTCAATTGGGTTGGTTCTGTTATAAAGACTAATGTGATTTAAAGCAGTGGTGGCCAATCTTACAGCCTGAAAAGGTTAAAGAGTATCAGGGGCCAGCCTGCAGTAAAGCCAGCCTCCTAACAACCCAATAAGTGCAGCTGGCCCTGATAGAAGCAATCTAATTTATTGCACCGTCTGATTGGCTGCAGGAGTCTGCAGCCTGATACTTAAACTCAGTAGCAGCTACAGCCTAGTGCAGGGGCTGGCAACTTTTCAGAAGTGATGTGCTGTGTCTGCATTGAATCACTCTAATTTAAGGTTTTGTATGCCAGTAATACATTTTAATGTTTTTAGAAGGTCTCTTTCTGTAAGTCTATAATATATAATTAAACTATTGTTGTATGTAAAGTAATGTTTTTTTAATGTTTAAGAAGCTTCATTTAAAATTAAATTAAAATGCAGAATCCCCCTGACCAGGACCCAGACAGTGTGAGTACCACTGAAGCCTTTGGCATATGTGCTAGTAGGTTGCCTACTCCTTGTCTAGTGACTACTTAATGTATTCAAAACTACAGCTGTGTTTGGTCTTTTCCCTATGCTACTGTCTCTAGCCCGCAGTGCCTTCCTGATGTCTGGCTCAGAGTGTGGCTCTACTTTCTGACTGTGACTGCAGGTAACCCTTTGGCTTAGGCTTGTGTTTCTGTCTCGGACCCCCAGCTATGCCTCCTGTGAGTCAGGCTAACCCTTCAGATTAGGCTTTGGTCTCTAAGGCTAGGTCTATGCTATGGGGGGTTGACCTAAGATACGCAACTCCAGCTACGTGAATAGCGTAGCTGAAGCTGCGTATTTTAGGTCAGTTTACCTGGCTGTGAGGACGGCGGTGAGTCGACCGCTGCCGTCGACTCCGCTTCCACCTCTTGCTGTGGTGGATTTCCGGAGTTGATGGCAGAGTGATCAGGGATCGATTTTTATCGCGTCTTCACTAGATTGTGATTGCTACCCGCCGATCCGGCGGGTAGTGAAGACATGCCCTATCTCCTGACTATAACTTCTAGTTTCAGAGGGGTAGCCATGTTAGTCTGAATCTGTAAAAAGCAACAGAGGATCCTGTGGCACCTTTAAGACTAACAGATGGACAAATACATTTATATTCAGTGTGTTAGTCTTAAAGGTGCCACAGGACCCTCTGTTGCTTTTTAATTTTTAGTTGTGCTCCTGAACCAGTTCTAACTAGCAGCCTAAATTCTTGCACCAACCATTAGGCAAGACTGCCCATAACTTGGCCACTGACAAAGCACTAAAATCTGCCTTTGCTGATTACATTGTGTGTGTGCCCTTTTTGCTCCTCTTACAAGATACAAAGACTCTTCTGGAAATGTGCTGAGGAGTCCTTGGTGGATATACAACCACCATAGCTGACCCCTACATCTCTAGGGCTTCTGATACAGGGGGCATATTGGAGGGGGGCATAAATAAAACAGCTAGAGTGTAATGCTTCCAGTTCTCCTTGACTAGTGTATGCTATGAAGGGAATGGTCGCTATCTGGCTCATGTCAGAGCAGTCTGGAGGCAGCTCTAAGTTGGCCTGGGACAGAGAACGGGGGAGCTGTAAATGGTGGTTAGTTCTCCAGTTATCCTCTGCTGGGTTACCCTGAAGCGCTGTGCGGAAGAGAATGAGGAGTCTTTTGCTAGGAGGTCCTCTAGGTTCAGGGAGAGCCAGTCCAGCACCCATCCATCAGCTCCGCAAGGAACCAGGCAATGGTTTAACCAGACTAGAGCTACTCTCCTCCCTGCCTTGCAATGCCCCAGGTGGCCAGTAGGGCGCTACTGAGCGCCTGGAAAGAACTGAGAGCAGCAGCCGAGAGCTCCTAACTCTGCTGCCGGAGACGGCAGACCCTGCTGGGGCTGATTTAAACACTTTAGGGTTAAAAATCACAAGGTGCAGCTATGGGAGGCCAATTCCAGTTCACAACCGAATACCGGTTTTCTACAGTCAAAAGTTATCCCATCATTGCATAGGTTGGACACCACTGAATAAAGTCTTTACATGGAGTGTCTGACACTCTCTTGGTTGGGTAGCAATTAGTAACCAAAAATCAAACACGTCTATGGTAGTGTGTTCGCTATCTCTAAGTTTGATCATCCCTTTCATTCCTTACGAAGCCATCCTCTGTCAAAGAACCCACCCTCATGCTTGTATGTAAGTAAAATCGTTTACTAAATATGTCAAAATTCTTAAATAGTTTGAAACATACCTCTAAGACTACTGCATTTGTCAACTCTGTTCTAGGTAAATGTTTAAATGTGTTGGGTTTGCATTTGCTGTTAACTAGGGTAGAACTAAAATAACTTTGTTCTTACTAATAAGGTTAGGGATGCCTTTCCCACTCCTCAAATAAAAGCCCCCAACGGGACTTCCTGGTTACATCCATCCCCTTTAAGACTTCAGAAATAGATTGATTGACTCGCAACAGAACAGTAATTAGGAAATGTGTTCTGTGCCTGTTAGATAGTTTGTTGCACGTTTTCCCCTTGCAGACGAGAAATGTCTCTAGGCAATGAGACTCCCCTCGATTAGATGCCGCTCAGAGAACTAGTGTTACTAGGGAGGACAGGACAGAGCTGTTCCCTTTGTGGAAACCGGATGTATTTCTAATGATAGGCGTCACCATTGGCACGTGTTACAATAATGCTAGTAGCTGTAGTAATAAGAGGCTTGTGCATACTATTCTGTTAATTTGAAGTTCTGCTAAAACAGTACCAGATTAACATCCCTTGATACTGACACCTGCAAGGCATGGAGAGAACGTGCGCCGTGCCGGACTCCTGCCTTCACCTCAGCAGGATTCACGAACGAGGTGTTCCCCAGTCCCGACTCTGGTGAAAAGAGAGGTGGTGATAATGCTGCTGCCCCCCCCCCTAAACTCAGTAACGCATGGTTAGAGCATCACCTGGCATGTGGGAGACCCAGGTTCAAATTCTCTCTCTGCTTAATGTGGAGCAGTGATTTGGACCCAGGTCTCCTATAGTCCATGAGAATGACCGCTATAATGTATTCTAGGGTGGGTTTCTCTCGTTCCTTCCTGTTGGAACCGTTCCGCGGTGTATACATTAAATATTCGTTGGAGAAGGGAGGGGGAGCTGGTGAAAGAATGTAAACACTTTCCCTCTGCTAGAAATGTCATTTGACAAAAGCTGCTGAGTTCCTGTTAGCTGTTAATTATTTTTGGTCACCATCTGTTTGACTTGAAG